TCTTCTGGCTCTTTCGGTGAGAGTTTTGATGACTCCTCTCTTTTGACTGGGGTGATGGTTTGAACCACTGTGCAGGTACCGGTCGGTATGTGTCGGTTTTCTGTACACCGTGCGGGCCAGCTTCCCGTTGGCTTTTCTGGTCACCAAGACATCCAAAAAAGGCAGTCGCCCATCCTTCTCCACTTCCATAGCGAATTGAATTTTAGGGTTTATTGAGTTAAGGTGCCTCAGGAAGGCTTCCAGTTCAGTCAGACCATGGCCCCAAACAACAAAAGTTTCATCCACATAGCGGAACCAGCACTTAGGTTTCCTCACGGCTGTGTCCAGAGCGTTCTTTTCAATCTGTTCTGTCTCATCGCCTTTGAAAATGTCCACCGCAGTTGTGGACGAAACGTCAGGAAGAAATTCCCATAGACCACGGCTTCAAAGCCCGGAAAACATTCCTAAATGAGTTATGGATAGTTTGGGCTAGTTTAAGCAGTTGGTTTTATAGATGCAGACTTAACAACTCGTTTCCAAGATGTAGTGCCATTATCTGTAATTAACCGAAAATTTTAATACCTAGATGGATATGTTGTTGGAAGTTCATACCTTTGATTTGCATTTTTAGATTTCGAGTTCTTTGCCACTGGTTATGCAATCACTCGTACTTCAGCAATATAATTTTAGTCTGCATTTTGGTTTCTTCGGCTTTATTAGCTTTAGAGGACCCAATCCCAGACAAGGACAATAAGAAAGCTGAAGCAAGTATTCCCAACCAGATAGCAAAGTTCGAATCTTTGACAGTCGCTTTCTTTCCAGATTTTAACCATGTTCGACTACATTTTTACTGGAATTTTTTCAGTAGAATTATTTCTTAAGACTATTTCATATGGATGCATTCTACACAAGGGGGCCTTTTTCAGATCTGCCTTCAATGTTTTGGATTTAGTTGTCGTCTGCGTGTCCTTAGTTTCCATTTTTAATAGGTAAGTCCATAATTGCATTTTGATTACCTCACGTAATTTGCGATTTATTTTCGAGACAGTCTTAACAATTGATCGCTCGGAAAATTAGATCACGTTGGCCCATTTTCAGAAAAATCAAATAAACTAGCCGTTGCTCTAGAATAATAATTTCAATTCTCTAAAGGGCTAGCTTTTTTTTCTTTGCAGTCAAGGAGCGATGTCTGTGGTGAAAATCTTGAGGGTATTAAGGGTGTTGAGACCTCTTAGAGCTATTAACCGAGCCAAAGGATTGAAGGTAAGCCTTAGAGCTCTTTCCCAACGGTGGTATACCCAACTAAACTGCCTGGGCAATTGAAAAAGTGTGAATTCACTGCGGTTCAATTTCATGGAATCTTTAACAAGAACATTTTTTGAAATTTGCGCTTCAGCTATGTTGGGTAGCTCACTGGTAAAATTAAACGAATTCGATGGTGTGACCATATGAGAGGATCAGATAGCCAAGATGCGACTGGCGCCACTTTAGTACTACACAAATTTATATTTAATATCTGTCCCTAGCATGTAGTCCAATGCGTGATAGTCGCGATTAAGACTATAGGCAATATTCTGATGGTAACGAGCCTGCTACAGTTCATGTTCGCGGTAATCGGAGTCCAGTTGTTTAAGGTAGGCACCAGCAGTCCGTTATTGTACAGCAAATGCACCTATGGGTTCCCAGCTGCAGCCTCGTCCCGGCGAATCAAGTCGAGCCAAGCCGTTTTGCTACTAACCCGCATGTCCGCTGAATGCGCCCGGCCCAGCGCCAGCGTTTCGGCCTTCCAGCAACATCCTCATCAGGCACTTGTAGTCATATCTAGGGTAGGGCACCGCCGCCGCTTGGTCGACCCAGGGTGCATTTGAGACGGCTGCGCGATGCCCCGCCATTCAGCTTGAAAACTTTTCCCCAGTGGCAAAACTATCTATTTTTCTCTTCGCGTCCTCTATAAAGGGGACTCACCATATGCGCTTCCGTATCTAATCCGTATCTAAACGTATCTAACAAGGACGGTTTGAAGACGATGCGGTTTCGGATATCTGCGGTTCATTTTTTGAGGATTCGCTTCTTTCACGAGAAAACCAGTCAAGAGCGGTTGGTGCAGGAGTAAGACCGTGACAGAAATTTGACCGAGTTTTGAAATGCCTTGCCTTATTTCCTCCAGCGGTACTTTTTCCTAACTGACTGTTTCGTTTGTTTCATCCCCTCATGCCGATTCCTACTATGGCTAGTATGTCGTCAAATGCGTGATAGTAGCCATAAAGACAATCGGGAATATCATGTTGGTTACCTACCTTCTCCAGTTCATGTTTGCAGTCATTGGAGTGCAGCTCTTTAAGGTAAATTCCAAGGGCTTCTAGCTGCACTTGTGCGGTAGATGTGCATGTTCTGTCGTAGCTGACGAAGATCACATAGCGGCATGAGTAGGGCGCATGCGCCGCGCCGCTCGCTCAGCTCACAGACCACGCTCATGGTTCACTATTCGAATTTCTGCGATTTTCTTACTTAGATCAAGCAAATCAACCCGACAACCGTAAAATACACACCAGCATGCTTTTTACAGATTTTTCGCCTTTTTGGCGATTCGATTTTCCGGGATTGGGATTATTTTGGGTGGTGGATTTGTTTGATACCAACATTCCCTTTGCAACCTCAACAGTAGGAGCGGAGCATGGCACTGAAAAATAGTTTGTGCCGGATGCAAGCGCGTTTTCTAGCCTGTTTGATGAAAAGTTCAAGAACACGGCAGGAACTTATTGAAACCCGTAATTAAAATTGATTTTGTTTTTAATTAAAAGAGCGGCCTCTTAAGTGTGCGCTTTCAAAGCTCCCACACACTTGTAGATGCACCTGTGTTCATCAGTGTATTTAAAATAATTAATACACTGAATTAATTTGATGTTGATAATACACTGCACTCAGATAGGATAAGAAACTCAGGACTCAGGAGACGAATGGCACAGCTTAAAAGAATGAATGAAGAATGAGTTGAAATTATGTATTTGGTATAGTTGGGAAGTAGAGATGGGTTTGATCTCATTGAGTAGATGTTTTAAGTGAAATCGCAGAAATTCGCCAAACTTTTTGTTACTTGTCTCTAGCCTGCCGTCTGTATGTTTGTAGTTGCGATGAGATGTTTTTGATCTTCGGTCTCCGCGCCTATGCGTTGCAATCCAGAGTAGTGTTATTGGTAAGCTTCAGCTGATCCACACTTAGCACCAATAAAGACGGCGTTCACTGACCAATTGAGAAGAAGTTAACTAAGCCACATTGTTTTAAGCAGCGGATTCTAACACTTATTTACTATTTCTATACACATTTGTTATGTTGTTGATATTATTTTACTAGTTATGACTACAAGTGATCGCAGTTTGTGAATTAACCTAATTTGTGCACCCCAATCTACCGCATGACCATCACTTTTGTAACATATTGTTGTGTTTTCGTTTGTAATTTTGCTGTGACACATACCTAGATATACAAGAAAACACCCCAACCATTCAGTTGCTTCCACCATTGATTAATTAGGCCAGTGATTGATAAATGATTATTTTAATGAAACGGACACAAAAAACCAATTCACACTTTGCATGGACTTTCCTTTAGATTTTCTCCGAAAAACTGTGGATTTCTTATACGTATATTTTTGATAAAACTCCGTGTCTAATTCCCTTTTCATTGTTTAGGGTAAATTTTCTCATTGTACTGATGGTTCAAAGCTCACAGCGGCGGAATGCAAGTAAGTGGGCTCAATCTAGTGCGGTTGACCAGCTTCGGCTGGTTCATAGCAATAAAGTACAGTCAATGTAAAGTGAAATTAATATTTCAGCGGTACATACCTTATATACGTGGATGGAGATATTAATAAACCCGTAATGAAAGATAGGGAATGGGAACCCAATAGGTTCCATTTCGATAATGTTGCCAAAGCAATGTTAACACTCTTTACAGTGTCGACTTTCGAAGGCTGGCCAGGGCTACTTTATGTGTCGATCGACTCAAATGACGAAAATAAAGGACCAATTCACAATTACCGACCCATCGTAGCTGCTTATTACATTATATACATTATTATTATAGCTTTTTTTATGGTTAACATATTCGTTGGTTTCGTTATTGTTACATTCCAAAACGAGGGTGAGCAAGAATACAAAAATTGCGAGCTGGACAAGAACCAGAGGAATTGCATTGAATTCGCGTTGAAAGCCAAACCAGTTAGGCGATACATTCCGAAACATAGAATCCAGTATAAAGTGTGGTGGTTTGTTACCTCCAAACCTTTCGAATATGCCATTTTTACACTTATCATAATTAATACCATAACTTTGGCAATGAAGTTCCATGGTCAGCCGGACGAATACGGCAATGTTCTGGATTATTTAAACATGATTTTTACCGCTGTTTTTGCCATGGAGTTTGTCTTCAAACTGGCGGCTTTTAGAGCAAAAGTAAGTACCCGATTCCAGATACATAAATAAATAGTGACTTTCAATTTATTTACAGAATTACTTTGGAGACGCTTGGAACGGCTTCGATTTCATCATAGTTTTAGGTAGTTTTATCGACATAGTGTATCAAGACGTGAGCGTAAGTATATCCATTATCCAGTATTTGTATTTTTTCCATGTCATCAATCATGTGTTCTTTCCAAACAACTCCCATCTATTAAAATATGCTTTCAATAAAGGCAATCATTTACTGAATATCGATGTAGGAATTATTAATAGAGTGTTCACAAACATGTTTTTTCTTTCTTGCAGCCACCTGGTCAGAAAAAAATAAAATTTTCTGGAAATTTCTTTCGATTATTCCGCGTTATGCGACTCATAAAACTTCTAAGTAGGGGCGAGGGTATTAGGACGCTACTATGGACGTTTTTCAAATCGTTCCAGGCCCTTCCCTATGTAGCATTACTCATAGTAATGTTGTTTTTCATATACGCTGTTATAGGAATGCAGGTCAGTTAAAAAAACTATTTTGCGCAATGGTCTCCAAATGCTTATAATGTTGTTAGATGTTTGGAAAAATTGAGAGTGACGATTTGGAATCTGGTTCTTCGTTAACAAGGAACAATAATTTTGCATCGTTTTTTCAAGCCGTTTTGGTTTTGTTTAGATCTGCCACAGGTAAAAGAGCGTAGGTCTCATTGATGAAGCACGTTCGTAACAGTTTTGCTGTTTTTCAGGTGAAGCCTGGCAGGAAATTATGATGGATTGTGCAGATACCAAACAAGCTAGATGTGATAGAAGGCTCAATCGCACCGAGTCTCAGTTTTGCGGTTCGGATACTGCATATCCGTATTTTATTTCGTTCTACGTACTGTGTTCTTTTTTGGTAATAAGAAACGTTATCATTATTCTTTTTTGAGTGGATGAGTTCTTCCGGTTGCTAGATTTGAATTTACTTATTCATGTGATTGCTTTCGCAACACATTTTCTGGAAAATCGATATAATGTGATATGAATAGTGTTTACTATTCATTGGCTTATTTGACTAGCGAAATTGAATCTTTCAACTCAATTCTGTTTGCTCCCTGATTCCAGCTTAGGCAAGCTTGAAGTTTTAATAGCTTGTTTGTTTGCTTTCAGATTATAAATTTATTTGTAGCTGTAATAATGGACAATTTTGACTATTTAACAAGAGACTGGTCAATTCTTGGGCCGCACCATCTCGACGAATTTATACGGTTGTGGAGCGAGTACGATCCGGACGCGAAGGGTCGTATCAAGCACTTAGACGTTGTAACTCTCCTTCGTAAAATTTCTCCACCTTTAGGTTTCGGTAAACTTTGTCCGCATCGTGTAGCATGTAAGCGGTTGGTTTCTATGAACATGCCTTTAAATAGCGACGGCACCGTGTTGTTTAACGCTACTTTGTTCGCGGTTGTACGGACGTCTTTACGAATTAAAACGGAAGGCAACATTGACGATGCCAACTCGGAGTTACGAGCAGTTATCAAAAAAATTTGGAAAAGAACTAGTCCGAAATTACTGGACCAAGTCGTTCCTCCTCCTGGTGTGGACGATGAAGTGACGGTCGGGAAATTTTACGCGACATTCCTCATCCAGGACTATTTCCGCCGGTTCAAAAAGCGGAAGGAACAAGAACTGAAGGAAGGAGATAAGGAGCAACTTAATACCGTTACCCTGCAAGCTGGCTTGAGGACACTCCACGAGGCAGGACCTGAACTTAAGCGGGCTATTTCTGGCAATCTTGATGAGCTCATTGATGATAATCCAGAACCCATGCATCGGGTAAGAATGTTCATTTTTTTCAGGTCGTCAAAACAATATGTTTCATTTTGTTTCAGCGTAATCATTCGTTGTTCGGTAGCGTGTGGTCGTCAATGAAGCGGGGTCATAGTTTCAATCGGGCAAAATCGTTGAAACTGAACTCCACTCAGATCAAAATAACTCCGGCATCCAGCATTGATTATCTGCCTTACAACTCAATCAAAAATGCTGTGACTGAAGGAATGAATCACATCACTTCAATGACAAAGAACGTGGTTGATAACAGAGCGAGTGCCATTTCGCTGAATGATGGCTATCACGATGAAGAAATTCCTTTGAGAACTTTGACCAACTTGCATAACGGCGAAACTGAAAGGACCTACACTGTTATCGAGTAAGTTTTTTTTATTGTTTGGACTTCATTGACTGGGTGAGCATATTAAATTTGAACATTTCATGAGGGTGCTAATGTACTTTCCCCTGTAAGCCGAGTACAAATGAACTTTAATTTTCAGTAAAACCGGGTTTCTACACCCTGGCTACAAGGGTAAGCGTAAGCAGGGTGTGATATGGTGTGCTATTTTTTTAAATCTAGTTTGACTATAACAACTGTTTGGTTTTATTGTTTTTATTATTTTTCTGCTAACCGATAATGTGTATTTGTATGGTTCGCTACGCAATCCGAGCTCAAACTTTACCGAATTTTCCACACGGCTTGTGTAGCTAAATCGGGAGGTTGTTGATTTGATATTGATTTGTTATGTACCACTAGAAGGGTGCAGCGGTGACGCCGGTTAAACTTTGTTTTCTGAATCAGTTCGAAATGCTGCTGGCGGTCTGTTTTATTTGAACACTTTCTCAACTTGCTGTTTAGCCGCAGTTTTAGGGTGCATGTTTGAACATGTGGCCCCGTCTACTTGGCTTATGGAAGTTGTGTTTCTCCTTTCAGGGTTGGAATTTCTCTTCTTTTATCAATAATTTTTAAATTTGGGCATTTATTCCTCAATCCCTCTATAACTGGCTCTAAGCATAGGTTGAGTTTGCTTATACAGGGTTATTCACGCTATACGGCACGGAAGTTTGCGGCTAAACCGTTTGATTTTTAAAAAGTGTTATTTTATGAATTGTCCGACGCCTACTGAGGGCACATTTTAAAAATATTTTAGTAATGTACAGGGTGTCCCAAAAGCTCTAAAGGTATCAAAGTTGCGTTTTTCTAAATGGAATGTCCTGTATATTATTGCATTTTTGGATTCGCTGAACAAAATAAGTGCCTGCTTCAATAAGGTTTATAACACCTGACTCTTAAGGTTTTTCAAATAATACGAATTTAGTCAAAATATAATCTAATTTTCACGTGTCAAATACTTTAGAAGTATTTAAGTTATGTAAGCGTCATTTATAGTGAAGTGTAACAAGATATAATATTTTATATCCCAATGATAATAAACTTACCATGTTATACAGGGTGCTCCACAAATTTAAACTAATCAAATAAGAACTTCAAACTAATTAAAAATTGCATTTCCTGGTAAGCTAAAAAATATGGAGTTGTATTTAAATTAATCAAGTTATAGCCACTTAACGTTCTTATTTCATTAGTTTAAATTTTTGGACACCCTGTATAAAATGGTAAGTTTATTATCATTGGGACATAAAATATGATTTCTTGTTACACTACACTACAAATTACGTTTACATAACTTAAATAATTCGCAAGTATTTGACACATGAAAATAAGATTAGATTTTGATAAAATTCGAATTATTTAAAAAACCTTTAGGTTCAGACATTATAAATCTTATTAAAACAAACACTTATTTTGCTCAGA